AGGGCTTCCATCACAGCACGGCAAATGGCAGTCTCCTCACTCAGAGAGTTCATAGACCCAGAGTGCCAAGCTGCACCAATGGGCAAAACAGAGGGCAGCCCAGGGAGTTCCCAGTGGGTGCATTACAGAGGGCTCAGGAGGAGGCTCTGTGCTGGCTGGGGAGGCCTGTATCTCCTCAGATACAGCTTGACACTGTATCTGATTCATCCCTTCTGCCTGGACCTCTGGCTGAGCTGGTTCCTGGCTGGGGGACATATTTTGGGACCTTTTAGGAGGCCCTGCTCAGTGCATATGGATGGCCTCACCACAGTCACTGGGAAATTCAGGAGGGCCCAGGGCTGATGAGACCTGGAATCCAGCACATAGATCTTTGTCAGAAGGTGGTTACTCAAGAATAATCCAAACTCCTTGGGCTGGGAGTCCACAAGGAGAAAGAGGCTGCAGTTGCCACAGCACAGGTCACATCCATGGGTCTAGCTAGGTTCTCAGCCATGGGTGGTAAGGAAGTCCAAGTGGTAGGGCTTCCTAGTGCCTTGTTAATAACAACTCCCAGCTTGAGTACATACTACGATACCTTGTTGCTTTGAAGACACACATCTTTTCCACACTTCAACTTCTGTGAAAGTGGGATCTATCTTGCAGCCAATGTGATAAGAAAGCATTATGTAGTTTAATTAATAGCATATTTTTTCTTTCTGAAGAGTAAATGAACATATATCTTACTAGCTATAGCATCTCAGATTAGACTACAGTATTTACCAGGCAAGATACAGTTTCATTTATCCTCCAACAACCCCATGAAGTAAGATTATTACCCCCTGGGTAGGATAAATGAAGAACAGAGAAGCTAAGCCACTTGCTCCAAATCACACAGCGGATAGAGTGAAGAGTCCAGGTCTGCTGATTCCAAAGTTCCAAGCTCTTGCCTCTGGACCACACGGCCTCCCTTGGTGGAGCCCTGCTCTGGCTACGGCTGACCCCATCCATTTCATCCAAAGGGTTCTCTGCTTCGTTAGAAGAGGACTAGTGCCTCTGTGACCTGGGGTTGGGCTGGATAGGGTCTGGGGTTAGGCACAACCACAGCTACAGCAGGCAAAAGGCAAAGGCCTTCAGCAGCAGAGTGGGGCTGGGAAGATTGTAACTCAAAAACAATAGGCTCTGAACTGCAACAGTATCTTCACCTAACAGCTCCTTCTTTACTGTGGTTTGGGGAAGTCATAACTTGAACTGTGAGTAGATGAGGGAAGAGCTGGGCAGATGAGCAAGCTCCTGGCAGCCATCACATATCCGTCCCCCAGCGAGCAGGCGCCGTTCAGATGCTGTCCAGACAAGCACAGGGACCAGTGCTGTCTCCTACCACCCCAGTAGGTGCGCTCAGGAAGGGGCCACTCGGGTCTGCCCACAAGCTACAGGCAAAGCCAACCCTGGAGCCCCTTGGCCTGTCTCTCCCCCTCTTCCCACACACACATGGCCAGGCCGGTTGGCTCTCAAGCTCCCACAGTAGGGTCCTTGTGTTCCAAGGCTGTTTCTTCCAAATGGAAGGCCCCTGGCTTACTCACCCTTCTCATTTCTGCTGAAATGCCACTTCCCTGATTCCTAAGACTGGCTTCCACTCCTCATGACGTGCTCTTCAACCACCCCCAGACTCTATGATGATCATTAGGCATCTGTGCAATGCACTGTTACACATTGGGCTCTCTGTATAGACCACAAGCTCGCTGAGGGCAGGAACCACATCTGCTTGTGAAGCACCATGTCCCAAGGCTAGCTCAGGGCTGGTCATGCAGTAGGTGCTCTTGACCCACGCCTCCTGCCCCGCCTCCTCACCTGGGTTCCCATGATGAAACATTAGGTGCCCTTCTGTGCAGGGATCCAAGCTTGGGTGATTATGGAGATGTGGGCCTGAGCCTTTGCTTGAAGTCTGGGAGGCTAAGCACTCTTTGTTCTTTGTCAACTGACAGGAGCTGAGCTGGCTCCGCTTCACACCTCTGCTTCTCCCAGATGAAAACCAGTTCCCTCTTCCCAGCATCTAACCAAGTTAGACTCAGAAAGGTGGGAAATTTCCTGAAGATTTGGATCCTAAAGGTCTCCCATTTTATGCCGTAGGGCCTTTATGCTCATTTTAAATTCAAGACTCTAAAACCTAGTAGGTGGTAATAGGCTCAACTCTTTCTTATTTAATTTTTATTTTGCCTTTTTTTTTTTTTTTTTAAAGAGATGGGGTCGCCGGGCGCAGTGGCTCAAGCCTGTAATCCCAGCACTTTGGGAGGCCGAGGTGGGCGGATCACAAGGTCAAGAGATCGAGAACATCCTGGCCAAAATGGTGAAACCCCGTCTCTGGCTAAAAATACAAAAATTAACTGGGTGTGGTGGCGCGCACCTGTAATCCCAGCTACTCAGGAGGCTGAGGCAGGAGAATTGCTTGAACCTGGGAGGTGGAGGTTGCAGTGAGCTGAGATCGTGCCATGGCACTCCAGCCTGGAGACAGAGCGAGAGACTCCATCTCAAAAGAAAAAAGAGAGAGAGAGAGAGAGAGAGACAGGGTCTCACCATGTTGCTCAGGTTGGTCTCGAACTCCTGGGCTCAGGCAATCCTCGGCTTCCCAAAGTGGTAGAATTATGGGCATGGGCCACCGTGCCTGGCCCCCAACTCTTTCTTATTTTATGTTTTTTCAGAAACAGATCTTTCTATGCTCTGTGCTGTCTCGGCTGTGGTGCAGTAGGTTCTCACAGGCACGATCCCACTCTGATCAGCACAGAGTTTTGAGATGCTTCATTTCCAACCTGGTTCTGTTCACTCCTCCTTAGACAACCTGATGTTCCTCCACTACCGGGAGGTCACCATCCTGATGCTAAATTTAGTGGGGACACCGAATCTGCACAGCCCAGAGTTCCTGGGCTCAAGCTTTCCTCCTGCATCAGCCTCCTGAGTAGCTGGGGCCACACGTGCACACCACCACACCCCACTAATGCTTATTATTATTATTATTATTATTATTATTATTTTTATTTTGAGATGGAATCTCACTCTGTCACCTAGGCTGTAGATCTTTGTCAGAAGGTGGTTACTCAAGAATAGCCTCCTGGGTTCAAGCGATTCTCCTGCTTTAGCCTCCCGAGTAGCTGGGATTACGGGCACGTGCTGCAGTGCCCAGCTGATTTTTGTATTTTTAGTAGAGAGACAGCGAGCGCGCGCGCTGGTCTTGAATTCCTGACCTCAGGTGATCCACCTGCCTCGGCCTCCCAAAGTGCTGGGATTACAGGCGTGAGCCACCGTGCCCAGCCTACTGTTTATTATTTTTTGTAGAGGGTGTCTCACTATGTTTCCCAGGCTGGCTCATAAACTCCTGGCCTCAAGCGATCCTCGTGCTTCAGCCTCCCGATTGCAGGCGAGCACCACTGTACTCAGCTCAACTCTCCTTCTTTCAGGTTTGATTTCACCATTTAAAAATACCAGCTTGGAGTTTCTTTTGATATAAAACATAAAGACCTAATAAGAATTATTTTTTTAAAGGAGAAGCTAAGTAATTATCTTGTAGTCAACCAGGAAATAATTATCACTGATTTTTAAAAACACACTCTTAAATATAGATATATTTAGTTTAGACTTTTTACCTTTTTCTATCAACTGGTACATTCCCATGTACCATACTGTTTTAGTTACTGTAGCTTTGTGTTACGCTCTCACTGTTGGTCTTTTCTCATTCCTCTTTTTAAAAACATTTTCTCATCTATTCTCACTTGTTTCTTCTTCCAGAGGTAAGTTTTAGAAACATCTGGCCAATTTTAAAAAATTACAATAGGATTTATCTTTGAAACTCTGTTAAGCCTAAAAAATTCATTTGAGGAGAATTAACGTCATGGCCATTTTTAATATTCTCCTGGCATCTTTTTCTGTTTCATAAAGTTCTTCAAAACAGTTTTACCTGCCCTTGTTATTTCCTCAGACAAGTAGATACAATTCTTTGTCAGACCACAAAAAGTTTTATAAATTTAAAATTAAGCCAGAAGTGATTTAAACGGCAGCAAATCTGAAAATGTAGAAAGGGCTTATCAAACAATATAGAAGTGGGACTCTTAGCCAAACCAAATGAAAACCCATTAACACTAGACAGCTCATGTGCCTGAATGGAATTTTACCATTAACTACCATTTATCCCATTTAATTAGTATTTTCCTGACACACAATAACTTGCACTAAAATACCGTTCTCTCGCCTTTAAATTTCTAATTATTGTTGCGACCTACACCATTACGCATCTCCACTGCTTTCTCCATCTTTCATGCCATTTAAGCGGTAAGATTTTCAATTATCTACGCAGGACGGACAGAGATACCTTTAAGGAAAGGGGCATAATATGCAACTCAATTTCTCTAAAAGCCAGGAGAAATCATTTTTAGTCAGAACAAACACACTTTGTCTTTCATCATTTTTTTTTTTTTTTGGCAAATAAAGAGTAAAACAGGCTATTTAAAACATCCATTTAAATGCAAATTTTGATATCCCAAGAGAAAAATGTTAATCATTTAAATAGACAGGATTATCGCCCACCCTTACCACTTCCCTCCTCTCCCAAGTTTTAGAAAATGTAGCCTCAGCCCACACAAGTTAAGTCAGCCAGGAGTCCTTACATCTTAAGAACTCCCACTCAGATGAGAGGGCTGAGGCAGACAGAGGGGGACTTTTCCTTCTTTTGAGGAAGGAGATGGAAAAGAGAGAAAATAGTCTAACATATCCTATAAGCCAGGCATGGGGCAAAATTATAAATACAAACACACACACACCCCCACACACACGCGCAAGCACGCACACATACCTACACACATACTCAATCATCACAACTGTCTTGGAATGGGGAATTATCATCCTCATCTATACACAAGGAAACTGAGGCTCAGAAAGGTGAAGCAGTTTGCCCCACTGGTAGGTGACCCAATTGGGAGTAGAGGCCTCCATAGCCCTCCCAGTCCACGGTGACCTGCGGTCCTGTCTAGACTCACCCAGCATCCCCATGCCCAGCATGAACGCGTCCATGGTGTAAGGCAGTCCCCGGGCCCGGCCTCTTGTCCCAGGTGGGAACATGACTTCTTTCGGCTGAGCTTTCTTACATTCTACCTGTTAAACAGAAAGGCGAACAAATGAGATGCAAATGAATTCCACGTAAATGTCAAATGCAGAACTGATCTGGTTACGAGCTAAGTTATTTTTAGCCTTGCTCCTTACCCACTGTAAAAACAGCCGTGCCGAGTAAATGGCCTGCAAAATAAATACTTAAGAAAACACGCCACTTGTGCAAATCCTACTTCGGAAAAACCTACAAGGATGAAATTGGGTTCTGGAGGGGTGGCGAGGACGTAAGCCGAAGATACACACACAGATTGAAGCTCAGGTTGACGCTCGTTCAGAAAGCATGACAGATAAGGAGGCAGACAACGGCTGTTGGATGTGTCTGTGAATAATAACAACAATAGCAATAATAATAACCCCTCAGGATTTTTCAGCCTTTACACATTTACAAATGTCCCTGACATTCCCTCAGGCCAGTGATTCTTCATGCCAGGCCATCTGATTCAAACTCTTATTAAACAGACAGACCACTTAGCCTTAGCCCCAGTTCGCAGATGAGAAAACAGAGCATCAGAAGTTTTGTGTTGGCCGGGTATGGGGGATCATGTCTGTAATCCCAGCACTTTGGGAGGTGGAGGCAGGTGAATCAGCTTGAGCCCAGGAGTTTGAGATCAGCCTGGGCAACATGGTGAAACCCCATCTGTCCTAAAAAAAAGTACAAACAACTAGGCAGGTGTGGTAGCACACACCTGTAGTCCCAGCTACCTAGGAGGCTGAGGTAGGGGGATCACCTGGGTCTGGCAGGACAAGGATGCAGTGAGCCATGATCATGCCACTGCACTCCAGCCTGGGTGACACGGCGAGACCCTGTCTTAAAAATAAAAATTATTGTGTAGCATGCTGAAAGCCCTCCCCAACAGGTTCAGGCCTACAGACCAGATCTTCAGAATTTCTAGGTCAGCAATGCCACCATTTCCACAAAACCTACACCACTACCACACTCCTGAGGGAAGTAATAAGATTAAATACTGATTCTGTTCATCTGGATTACTAGTTTCTCATTTGCAGCTACATTTTCAAGTGGTTGCTAATCTCCCCTTTCTGTTTCTCTTCCGACTCTAAAATTTCTTCATGCTAATCTGCTTGTATACCCAGAGGTCACTTATTTAATAACCTTAACTATACCAAATACAAACCTCAGGGAATAAGTAAAACTGTGGCCCTTGAAAGCTCCTTCACTGTTTTACCAGAGCACCTTAGGCCTGTGCTTATTAGCACTTATTTGCTTTCTGTTTACAGAGAAATTTAACAAGCATTGTTAGCCAGTAATCAATCCCACTGCTGATGAAGATGGGATGTTGCAGGATAAAGCACGGATGCTTTTAACAGCCAAAAGGAACAGCATGACAGCCTGATAGTGATGGAGAAAAGACAAGAATCAGGTATCTTATTTAAAGAGCAGTCTGGGCCATATGGTATAGGAGCAAAAGCTCTACATAGTTCAACAGCTGCTGAGGTATCACTGTAACACAGAAAATTACTATTGTTCACAGTGTGCCTGAGATATCAAGAAAAAGTTAAACTGTGTGCAATATACATTGTTTAAATAGACACCTCTAGGCCGGACAAAGTGGCTCACACCTGTAATCCCAGCACTTAGGGAGGCTAAGGCAGGCAGACTGCTTGAGCCCAAGAGTTTGAGACCAGCCTGGCCATCATGGCAAACCCTGTCTCTACTAAAAATACAAAAAAATTAGCCGGGCGTGGTGGCATGCTCCTGTAATCCCAGCTACTTGGGAGACTAAGGCAGAAGAATCGCTTGAACCCGTGAGGTGGAGGTTGTAGTGAGCCGAGATTGCACCACTGCACTCTAGCCTGGGCGACAGAGCGAGACTCTGTCTCAAAAAAATAAATAAATAAAATAAAAATAAAAAGGGACCTCTATGGGTTATCTGTTTTAGAGATAGTCTCATCTCAAATACTTCAATCAAAAAATATTTTAGTGCTCAACGTTAGGGGGATGCTATAATTACCTAAGATATAAGTCCCCTTTCTTCAAAGACACCCGATAACAGGTATTACTCTTGCTCTTTCAAGAATAACCACAAATGCCTTAAAAAATGGACAAAATGGTTCAACATTCATGACTAATATGCTTAATACAAAGAGTTCTATAGATTAAAAGAGATGAGCATCCCAAAAGAGCCATGGGTAAAAGACATGAGTAGACAATTCACAGACGGCTAATAAAGAACACATTCCCCAAGATAAAGCATATTTTTTGCCCACAGATTGACAGTGATGAAAGCATTGTTTGATGTAAGGGTTTCTGAGGGTATGGTGCGGTGGGGTGGAAATTGGCACGTATTTTTCTGGAGGGCAACCTGACACTATATCAAAAGCCATAAATTTATACATACACCTAGTAATCTTACCTCTAGGAATTTGCCCTACAGGAATTAGATTATTATTATTTTTTTTAATAAAAGGAAATAACCGAAATACAGAAGAACAGGGAATTAGCTGAGTCTGGTTTATCCACACTGATTGAATGCTATGAAGCTATGAAAAAGTGTGTTGATAATAATTATGCACTGGTTCTGGGAAACCCCTCAGTCCCAGGCAAACCAGGATGACAGGTCACTCTAACTGCAGGAGGGAAAAAAGCAAATGTCACTGACTTTTTGAAAAATAAACAAGTGCATATATCATATAGGGAAAAATACTGAAAAGACATACTAAAATTGTCTTAGAGTTACTTTGTTTTTAAATTTTAATCGGGCATTTTGCTATTTATTTTCCAAGCTTTCTGCTAAGCAACAGGGAGCAGGTTTTTGTAAGATAATGCAACAGACTGTCACTGATAGGGCTATTAGAATGTTGTCATTGCAGGTAGGGGGGAAAAGGTGATTGAAAACAACAAACTCATCCAAATTGGCTCTCCTAAGCCCAGGGTTGAAAACTGACTTCCGGGACGCCAGAGGAGCAGGCTGAGAAATCTCATTTGCATGAACCTGCCCCAAGCCTGGGGAGATGGGTGTGTCTTGCACAGGCAGACAGATAATTACCCAAAGCCAACACCAGCAAGGGGAATAATATCGCTAACCAGCTCAGTTCCTAATAGCCCTATCGGTGACAATCTACTGCATTGTCTTATGAAAACCTGCTGCCTGTTCCTAGGCAACCTGATCAACGGAAATCTCAGGTTTATACAATTTTCATTTAGGGAACATAAAGGTTAACTGACTGTAATGGGAGTGTTTTAAACAAACCCACCTACTCTTCCTCTCACTGAACAGGGCTGACAGCTCGGTTTAATTCTGCTCTGTCTTTGCTGCTGGTGGTTTGGGCAGCAATGACTGTTTGAGTGTCAACCACCTGCTGGGTCAACGGTGAGTGTTCCCCAAGGCCAGGGGCCATGGCACACGCACTCTCGGGGGGACCCTGCCTGTCCTGGGCATCTGAACCACAGGGGAAGGCAGCAGGTAACAGTTACCAGCAGGGAACCTGGCCTGCCTGCCCTGAAGGCCTCTTGAAAGACTTCTCAGGACCAGGAAGCCTGTCCAGTCCCCTCCACCCCCGAGACTCAGCCACTTAATTCAATGACGTGGATGCAGAGGAACTCAACACGCCAGGCAAGTGCTAGGCTTTGGGGACCCAAAGATAAATAAAGAAAGCCTCTACCTCTCTGAGAGCTCTCACTGTATTGAAAAAGAAGAGGCTCTGACTGCCTTGTTCTCCTAAGATGAATGCAAGTACTCACACATCAACCTGCCCCTCGCTGCTTCTGCACTTGTCAGCCTCCCGAGCCTCTTGAGTTAGCACACATCGGGTCACCTTCCCCTGCTGTCCTCCCCCAGGCCCTGCATAAGCCAGAGAGCTTGGCATGAACAACCCGGGTTACGGTCAGAACCCAAACAGGATAAAAAGCAGGCTATCTTTTCGGTTCTAGTCATGTACTTAGGCTATCTGACCACACACTCTGTTCCAGGTATCTACTGCTGAGCAACAAACTGCCCCCAAACTTAATGGCTTTGAGCAACAATTTAACCATCCTTCCTCAGGGTTCTGTGGGGTGACCGGCTCAGCTGGGCTCTTGCTGGTGGTCTCATGGCACTGTGGTCAGGTGGTGACTGGGGCTGAAGCCAGAGGAGGCCTCAATGAGGCCGGGGGCCCAAGATGGCTCCTCGCTCCCATGGTAGGCAGCCACGCTGGTTCGGCTGGGCCTGCTGACGAGACGTCCACCATGGCTCCTCCACGGCGCCTGGTCTTGCCACAATATGGCGGCTGAGTCCCAAGAGGCAGTGTCCCAAGCACAAGCATTCCAAGAGACTCAAGCAGAAGCTGCAAGGTTTCTTCTAACCTAGCCTTGGGACTCACAGTGCTTCCTCCAACACATTCCACTGGTGACACTGGGCCAGCCTAGAGTCCGTGTGGGAGGGGGCTCTAGGGATAATCTTTGGAAACCAACAACCACATGAGGTCAGTGAAGGGCAGTGAACTGACAAGGCAGCAGGAGGCACTCCCCACACTCTGGCTCTTGGCTGGCTGGGTCCTTGGAGAAGTGGGCACGTAGGGCTGCTCTCACCACAGGGCAGAGGGCAGGGCACGGGGCTCCCTTCCCACTGCAGCCCCACAGAGGCCTGCCTGGCTCCCCATGGTCCTCTAAAACAAAACAAAGGTGGTGATCACGGACACCAGGCCTCTTGCTGCAGGTGTTTTGGCCTCACCTCCTAAGACTTCCCCTTGGGGAAGGGCCACCTCCCAGTCTCAGTCCTTGAGACTCCTGCAGCAACAGCTTCTCACAGTGGCTGCTGCTGCTATTGTTTCAAATAGCAACTGACCAGAGCAGTCTATTCAAGTGGCAAGAAATGCAGTGAGATGTTCCATCTGACTGAGCACTTGTAAGAAGCCTCAGAGGCCACTGATGACCAAAAGACCAGGTCTCTGTTTTCAAGGTGCACAGCTGGCAATGCCACAAAACACTCCCAATACCAGGGATGTGCCAACACCCCCCACCCCAACAAAATTGATGGGAGTGGTTTTGA